CCCTCTCTCTCTCTCTCTCTCTCTCTCTCTCTCTCTCTCTCTCTCTCTCTCTCTCTCTCTACTTATTTCTCAACACATCTGTATTTCTCAAGACTTTCTCAAATCCTAATTTAAATCCTAACTAAACGTCTTTCATTCTTTATGTGTGTTTTCTTTCGGGTTATTATTCATAGCTTGAGATTAAGATTTACTATTTTTTCAATTTAAGATAAGATCTTAAAGTAAATGCGTTTTCTTGAAACAAAAATAACATGTCATTGAAATCACGAAAAATCAATAAATACTGGGATCATTGTCAAATAACTGTCCAATATTTTAGATAAATTAAATTTAATCATAATGGATAAAAAACAATTGGATTCAATATCATACCCTATAAGTGTCCAAATTATTGACAATACCTTTCAGCAAAGAAAATAGATATAATTTATATATAACAATATATAATATGTATATTATATAAAAACAATAAATGTCAAACAATAGCATACATGGGATTTTGGCATCCCTTCCGATGGCAGCGGTCACGTTAGGCACCTGACCCACGAATTCTGGCTCTTCCATAGGGACTGTGTATCTGACGGCGTCCAGGAATGTGCCTATAAATGCAATCAATGTACTTTTATTAATAACTTATTTCATGACAATCTATAACTCAAATTGTTTGACAATTAATGAATAAAAACATTTTATTTTTTAGTTTAAATGCAATTTCAATTGATAGAAATTTTTCTAAAAGACTCAGCAATAAAGTGAAGTGAAATTTAAAGTTTACATTAATTTTATTTAATATTTACTGGAATTAGAGTGACTCTCTCTCTCTCTCTCTCTCTTTCTCTCTCTCTCTCTCTCCAAAGTTTCAATGATCTAAAACCCGAAGGATTTCGTTATCGAATTACCAACAAATAAGTGAATGCACTCTACTTTCCGACTACACTATACTTCTCTACAATTCTCTCTCCCTTTCCATTTCTACACTAACTAACTTTAGTCAGTTTAGTCATTTGTTTTAATACCTGTAGGAATGATATCAGTTCAAATGATAGTCTATTTGTAAAATGTTTTGAAGCTATAAATATAAGTCTATGGATCTCTTCTTTCCAATTTGTAATTCTCATTATTTGTAAAAACAAATAAATGTTCAAATTATGAGCACAACATTTTCTACAATAATAATTTGCTATATTTACAAGATTCTTGAAACTGTATATTAAAATTCACAAACTAGAAGTCTAGGGGCTATGCATAAAATTGACCAAGATAAGTTTTTGAATAGAAGTTTCTTCTTAAACAAGATAGTAATCACTGGTTATACAAGAAAATTTTTTTAATACAGTACATGTTATATTTGTATAACATATTTGTACACATTTTTTGTAAGTAGTAATTTTTAAAATTACATTTTTAGATGATAGTAATAACGTTGGAGATACTTACTGTAGATTTTTATGCAAATGAAAGAATCTCCAAGTTTGTAAAAGTATATTTTATAAACTGGCTAGTTCATTTGTTGCAAAACCATATTATCAATTATATTTATAATCACCACAATGAAATGTACATTTAATTTATCTTTATCTTATAATTCCGTAAAAATAAATATACAGTATAGTACATACACTTAAAGAATTGCACAAAATGTTTGTTTGATATAAGTCTACAAATACTGTATATAATATTGAAACCCACAGTAGAAAGACTCAAAAAGTGGAAAATGTGTAAAAAAGATCATTTGTTGAGAAGTGTTGAACTGATATTTACTTATAAATCACATTTTGAGTGATAATGCGGTCATTCTGTAAATGAATGGTACGGT